CCCCCCAGGCTTCCGCCCCTGTTTTCACCTCATACCATGTTCAGCTTGGCCAAGCTGTCCAGCCAAACTGGCCTTTTCCAGGGACACCAAGTTCTTTACTGACTAGAGCCTTTGCCCAAGCAGTTACCTCTCTCACTGGAAATCTATCCTTCTAGTCATTCCTTAAGGGTGTGTCAGATACCCTGTGAGCCCAGAATCCTTGTCAGATCAAACCTACTTAAAGGAGCACCTTCCACACTCTGAGCGCAGGGTTGAATTTTGCCAAAGCTGTCACCCTAGCTGAAATGATCTTCAAGACATCACCTCTCGCCAAAAGCTAAGTTCTTAGGAGTTGGATCTTGGTGGTCTTTTTCCTGGTGGACTCGAAACAGGTAAGTCAGGGTTCGGAAGAGAAAGGGGGGGTGGAAGCCATAGCAAAAAGGACACTAGACAGAAAAAGGAAGATGAAGACAAGCAGAGTGGGAATTACGGGGAACCCCCACTCTTCAGTCAGCCAGAGTGGCAGGGAGCACTCTGTCCGTTCAGTATTAAAAACACATTGCCTCTTTTGTACAAATCCTGCAAGACAGGATTCTATAAAATTTTTAAAACTTCAATAATGACTATGATAGATAAGTATCTGAAAATCTTTAGTTATTTCTATAGAAAAAAAAAGTTTAATGGTGCATTTGAATGTTTTCTGTAATAGATTTTTCTACAACCTCCCTACCAAGGTCTGGAGTCATAATGGCTCAAGCTCGCTCTCTGGAGATGACTCTGGAGACCTGTCTAGTGGCAGATTTTTTTCTTTTTAACTTCTAAACTGCCCTTTATAAAGCTTAAGCAACGTATTACATTTCACCAGAAGCAGCAAGAGTCAAATGCCTCGAGGACATGAAAGTTTGTTTCCCTGAGGTGGGTATCAGGGTGGGCTTCCTGGGAAAGGAAGGATTCTAGCAGGGACAAGACTACTATTGAACAGAAGCCCCTCAGTAGGAAGGAATACAAACATTTAATGGCATAGAGGTGAAAATGGCTAAAGGGCCCAGGAATGATCTGCTTTGACTTGGACCAAATTTTCTTTCTGGTGATAAGACAGTGCCATGCAGTTTGGCTTTCAAAATAATTATACATCATGACTCCCAGCGAAGTGACCTTGGGCAGATTACTAAGTCTCTCTGAGCAGTATAAATAGAGACATGACAGAAACTCACAGGGTTTGCTCTCAAGATTAAATGAGAGGACCCTCTCTACTGACTCAGGGGATTAAAACACAGCACTAAGAAGCTAAAGCCACTTCAGCATGAGTTCGATCCCCGCCCCGGAGGTGACCCCCATGGTGCAGCAGACCTCTCCTGACCGGTCCGCTGCTCCCCTCAGTAGTGTACCTCATCAATTGGCCTGTTCTCCCCACTCAATCCCTGGCGAATCCTCTCACTGCCCCTGCACCTCTGGCCTGTAGATAGATAAATTTTTTTAAATATAAATAAATCTTTTTTAAAAAAGATTAAATGAGAGTAGTAATCACTCAGTGCCAGATCAGCACATACAATCACTCAGTTTTAGCCTCTGACCTTGGAATTGGAAGCCTAGATGAGCCACACTGACATCTCTCAGCTAAGATCTAGAAACTTATCTATTTCAGCAGAGCTCAATGGTACAAGAAAATGTGGGTTCATTCTGTGTTCATTTTTAACATTCTTGCAGACTTTCAAACTTATGTAAGCACTTTAACATCAGAGAGATACTATGCATTTTCCACTTTGTATGCGTAGGACTAATGATGCTCCAGCAAGCATACCTCCGTCCACGCCTGTCTTTTCCTTCAGCTGCAGAGACTTCTGAGACACGTGCTGCACATACAGGTTTTAACAGAAGAAATTTCCATTTTCCTGCCTTCAGAAAAGCACAAAAGTCACACCTTTGTGGGACACATCTTTTCACGTGCTTATCAGTTATTTATCTTATTTGCAGAAATGTCCTATGCCTATGTTTAATTAGGTTGTCTTCATTACTGAGTTGTCAGATTTCTTTATATAGTCTACTTAGCAGTTCCTTATCTCCTTCTTCACTGGCAAATATTTTTCCCATTCTGAGGGTTCTTTTGCCTTTATTGATGTGTCCTTAGAAGCACAAGTTTTTCATCTCCTACAGCAATTGACTTATTTGTCCATTATTTATATTCACATGCTTTAAGTGAGTTAAAATTCAAAAACCCTGTAATATAACATTTTGCATACATTTTGAAAGTTTTGGTCACAAAAATATTTGTAGTATCACCCCTCCCCCTCCAAAAAAAAAGCCAGAGAACATCTAGGAACTAGCACAGGAGACTAAGGCAGTCAGAGGTTCATCAACTCATGGAGATCCACACAGCCTGTAGGTGGGAGAACAGGGCTGAAGCAGGGGTCCTCTGTCTCCAGAATCCCTACCCTTTTTGGAAACAAGAACAGGAAGAGCGAGGAGTCTGTGAGTGCTCTTGGAGAAGGACAAATACAAGTCC